GCTGCGGCAGCCCCCGTGCGAAAGCCCCGCCCAGGAGGGCGGTCCGTGGGCGGGGCCGGCGCTCCCCGCCTCCGGGGCTGGAGTATAAGGCTGGGCCGCGCCGGGTGGCAGCAGGCGGATGGGGTGTGGCGAGACTGAGGGCTGGGCTGTAGCTGCAGGGTGGCGGAGGGCACCCAGGATGCACGCGCCTTGCTGACTCCCGAAGGTGTCTCTCCCAGCTCCCTCATCCTTAGGAAGCAGGAAGCACTAGTGTCAGGACCCCAGGACTGGGGAGGCAGGCACCTTCCCTCATCTGTTCTCTGCTTTATTATTATTTTTATTCGTCTCTAGAACATGGACTCCATGCCTCTGGCTTGGGCTGCTGCTGCCTTTGGTAGCAGCGCTGGGTTTCAACTACCACCATCAGGAGGTGATGGAAGCGTTTTTGAAGACCGTTGTCCAAAACTACAGTTCTATCACTGTCTTACATAGCATTGGGAAGCCTGTGAAAGGCAGAGTCCTTTTCACACTTTCCGAGCCCAACTTTTCATTCATTAAATATTCCGCGGCTTCTCGTCCCCTGCCTTGAAGCTGCTCTGACGTCACCAAACAGGTAAACCAGAAGTGCCCACGTGTTGGTTGTTTTCTGCTTTTGTTTGTTTTGTGGGAGGAAAGGAGGGAAGAACTCAATTGTCTTGTGCTTCTCCGTTGCAATTCGGTGTCATTTACTCTTTACATTATTGGAGTTCTGTCTTTCTGTTTGCAGACATTGATTATTCGGAAAATGGATTGTAGTTCTTTTCAAGATAAATTCTCAGAGAAGGCAGCTGTTGTGCCCAGGAGTTCCACAAAGACCACACTGTCAAACAAAGCGAATTCATAGCAGAGTCCCTTTATTGAGCCCTTAGTGTCCCAACATGGGGTTTCTGAGAGCAGCCCCGGGTGCTTAAGGGTTGGGTTTTTAAGGCCTGGAAACATGTTGGAAAGAGTTAACTCTTTTGCCCCAGTGAAACACACCTGGGAACTCACACGCACCTATGATGGAGGGCTTGTTAAGAGGTTCCACACTGTTAGACAACTCACATTTTTCATAGATCTTTGTGATTTGTTTCCCCTTAGCAGAGACCCACCTAGCTGGAATGGGTCTAGCTACCCCACAGTGAAGGGAAAGGAGTGGGGTTCTGCCTGTTTATACCTAGAGAAAGTATTAAGCTTTCCTTTAAGCAGAATTGCAGCATTCAGAATTTGGCGCACACCAGGCATATAATATGTTCCCATGAATATTTTGTTAGCCATATTGTACCATGTAAGTCTTTTCCTGTCATCAAATCTAGTAAGATACACATTAAAGCCAGATACTAATCATTAAGGTAACTACACTGCAGACATTGTTAGTCATTTCATTACTATTGTTATTATTATTATTATTATTTTTGAGACAGAGCCTCAAGCTGTCGCCCTGGGTAGAGTGCCATGGCATCACAGCTCACAGCAAGCTCCAATTCCTGGGCTCAAGCGAGTCTCCTGCCTCTGCCTCCCAAGTAGCTGGGACTACAGGCGACCACCACAACGCCTGGCTATTTTTTGGTTGTAGCCGTCATTGTTGTTTGGTGGGCCCGGGCTGGATTCAAACCCGCCAGCTCAGGTGTATGTGGCTGACGCCTTAGCCACTTGAGCCACAGGCACTGAGCCTACTATTGTTATTTTTAAAACAAAGAGATACACCATGGTTCAGAGGTTAAGTAAACTGCCCAAGGTCACACAGCTGCTAAGTGGTGGATCAAGGATTCAGATCCAGGACCTCGCTGAAGCCTGGAACATGCTCCTTCTCCTCTTTGTCCTGATGTCTTTAATAAGAACCCCTATTTAATGTGGGTGGTAGGTGGCAATCACACAATGCAAGAGCTAAAATGGATCATAGCTGATAAACCAGTAGTCCTCAATCCTGGCTGAACACCAGAACCTTCTGAAGACTTTAAAAATACTCAGATGACCAGTCCTTATCCCAGATCCGTTCAGTCACTATTTTAAGAGGCAGGCCCAGCCAATTGTATTTTTTTTTCTAAAGCTTTTAAATATGAGATGTTATAATATTTCCAAGTTTGGGAACCACTCGTCTGATCTAAGCCCTTCTCATAGTACACATTGGGTAACTAAGTCCTGGGGAGGGAAGTTATCACAGCCAACAACTAAGCATGTTGCTACCAAAGCTCAAATGAAAATTTCTAACTCCTGGCTCAGTGCCCGTAGTTCAGTGGTTAGAGCACCAGCCACATCCATTGGGGCTGGCGGGTGTGAACCTGGCTGGGCCAGCTAAACAGCAATGACAACTGCAAAAAAAAGAAAAAAATTAAAAAGAGCCAGGGACTGTGGCAGGTACCTATAGGAGAGAGAGGAGAGCAGAGGAGGGGAGGGGAGGAGAGGAGAGAAGAGGAGGAGAGGAAAAGAAAAGAAAGAAAAGGAAAAGAATAGAAAAAAAAAAAGAAAAAAAAATTTCTAACTCCTATGTTGCCTTCTGGAGTCTACTCAAGTTGACTTTTTAAAAAAAAATTATTGTTGGGGATTCATTGAGGGTACAAGAAACCAAGTTTCACAGGTTGCATTTGTTAGGTAAAGTCCCTCTTACAATCATGTGTGCCCCCAAAAGGTGTGGCCCACAACAAGACCCCTCCTCCGTCCCTCCTTCCCTCTCTTTCCTAATCCCTTCCCCAATCCTCCCACCTTCTTCCTCTCTATGCTCGCCCCCTCCCCTTGTCATTAATTGTCCTTATATCAAAATTGAGTTCATAGGATTCATGCTTCTCCATTCTTGTGATGCTTTACTAAGAATAATGTGTTCCACTTCCATCCCTGTTAATACAAAGGCTGTAAAGTCTCCATTTTTTTTTTTAATTTACCCAGAAGGAAAAAAATCCTTTTATTGTAAGCACACTTGCACTAGACTGTATATTGCAGCTCAATTTACAATCGGCAAAATGTGGAGACAGCCTAAATGCTCACCAACCCAGGAATGGATTAACAAGCTGTGGCATATGCACACCATGGAATACTACTCAAGTCGACTCTTTTCCCCACTATTTGTTGTTCCTGGCCAAGGAGGACGCGGCTCACGTAACAGTCTGTGAGCGCCCCCGGGTGGGATAAAATGGTAACCAGTCATTCGTTATCTTGGGCTGCACTGCAGTAGTAAGAGTGGGCAGCTCCACAGACCTTTGTATCGCCTCATCAAAATGCAGCATGTAGATGCAAGCTGTTTGCTTAGGTAGCACACATCACTCTTGTACTTTAATGGAAGAAATCATCAATACAGAAACAAAACCGCCACCCTGAACTGGTGCTCTGCCCTTGCCTCTGAAGACTGGCTACACAAAGGCAACTTCAAATCTCATAAGCCACTCCTTCACTTTAGAACTCTTGAGAGTAATTTTTCTAAATCTGGGAGTCCCTTTCATTAAGGCAGTAGAGTGTTGTGGTTCATCTCACGGATCTGCCAATCAAACCAATTCCAGGACAAATTCTAGATCCCCTATTAAATAATCCCCAAAATTTTGGTCAATCACATGGCATCTTTAATCCTCAGTTTTATCATCTGTGCAAGGGTCATTAAAGATAAAGTCATATAGCTGTTATGGAGATTAAGTGTGAAGGAGAATTTGGAGCTCTCATCGTTCGTCCCATCGTCAAGTATCTTCTGCATGTAGCAATGGTCTCATTCCAGGGGCATTCTAATGTGGAAAGCGAGAGAAGACAAGGAGAAGCCAGAAAAGCAGACTGGACATGAGTAATCGATGCAGCAGGAGAGAAACCAAGAGTGTGGGATACTGCAGGCCAAGTAAAGGGTGACTGGGAGGGCAAATGACAGATTGAATCAGGTGACCAGCGCTGAGAGCTATCAGATTTAGCAAAGTGGAGGTCCCTGGTGGCCTTGACTAAGGTAATTTTGATGGATAGATTGTGGTGAAATCCTAACTGGAGTAAAGAACTGGATACCTCAAGTGTAGATTCTTGACATGGTTTTCTCCAAAGAGGAGCAAAGAAATGGGATGGTAGCTGGAGTGGGAAAGTGGTTTCCTTTTTAGCATGGGAGAAACAGCAGCATATTTAACCAGACAGTGGGAATAATCCAGCAGTGAGGGAAACTAATGATGCAGAAAGGAGAGGGGAAAATTACTAGAGCAGAATCCTTTATAGGTCAGAGGGAACGTGACTTAGTACAGAGCCTTACAGGAGCACAGATGTGGTGTATCTGTAGTGACAAGTGGAGGGGTGGGCAGGGTCTATGGGCATATTGTTCTTAGGTTAAGGAAGATGTAGTGGAGCCTGGGAAAGTTCTCTTTTGAAAGCTTCTGTTTTCTTGAGAGCAGAAATTGAGATCATCACCAAGAGTGATTGCTATTAAGTGAAATACAGTCTCATTAGGAGACCAACTGATTAAATTCAGATTCAGAACAGAACTCAAAGACTGGAGGAGATACGGTCTAATGGTTAAGAGTTTTTGGCAAAAATGCTTAAATAATGAAGTTCATGTGTAATGTCAACTTAAAATTCTATAAACAATATACACACATGTGATGCTCTGAACTTTATTTTCTTATAACTCTTTAAACAACTCTACAAAATGCTCTATAACATTAAGAAAACCTCTGCAAAATTTAGGGTGGGAATTAGACTCCATTGATCTACCATCAAAATATCAAGTACTTTTTTCTCTCATTTGTAGAATCCCACTACAACACAGTATAAACACTGATTTTCTTAGAAGATATTTAACTCTTGTGTCATTCTTTATAGGTGATGGAGTATTTTAATTCCACATACCCTAATGAGAATTTACCTCAAGCATTTAACTCTTTAAAATAACATAACATAAAATTCTTTTGAACAGTTTCATATCTTTTCCCCCTAGAAGTGGAGATTAAGCTCAATCTCCCTTCCCCACCCTTGAGCTCGTGGTAGATTTGCATGAAGTATACCAGCTGCTCCTGAGATTCTTCATCTATGTATGTCAGTGGTTCCTGTCATCACAGGTAGAAGAGAGAATTGGCTAATTGCAGGCTTGGTTCTTTATGAATGCTCTGTGCCACCAGGAAGGTCAGCTTGTGAGCATACAGACATGGCGCTGGGACACTGACTACGCCCTGAGGAGGAAAAAGTCCTGTTAATAATTAAGAGCACAATTTGTACTTCAAAGTAATTTTTTCCTGAGTTTTTTCATCTCCTGGTTGTGTAGATAATAGAATGGGTTTTGGAGTAAACAGTAAGAAAACTCAACCAACAAAGGATGACCTCACTCATTGGGAACTAAAGCTCACTGGGAAAGACGGAGTGGAAGGTGACTGTGGCTTTGTGGTGCTAAGAGCTGGGAGCATCCAATTTAGGGCTAATCTGTTCCCCAGGACCTCATGTTCCACGGGGCTCAGAACAAACCTTGGTCTTAAACTTTGAGAGAAGCTCTTGCCCTTACACAAAGGACACAGGACAGACCCATGCCTGTGAACACTGTTTCATGACATGTGAGTTGGCTTCAAGTTCCTCATCTGTAACATGTAAATAACAATACCCCGATTTCCTCCCAGACTTGCATAAAGATAATGCATATTGTAAGGTCCTCTAGAAGCTATAAATACTTATCTATTACTATAGTTCTTGGTTTTATTTCTATGATAAACAGGGTTCCTCCCACTATGGATGATTCATTTATTATTCCTTTGAGAAAGTCAGGTATTGTGCCATGCCTAAGGAGACAAAGGTGAATTGCATGACAATTCCTAGGTGGGAATCCTAAGTATCATATTTACCTAAGCAAACAGCTTTCACTCACCGGCCAGTTGTAATACAGGTGACACAGTTTGAATGTAAGTCTCTGCATGTGGTCGGGTTTTAAGCCATTGTCATCATAGATTACATTGTAGTAGGTGGGATTCACCGTTCCCTGACAGGCTGCCTGGCTGATCAAGTAAAAGTCATACCTGCCAAGGGAAATGGAATGAATGTGGCAAAGAAGGCAACAGAGCAAGAACACACAAGGAATATTTTGTTAACAACTGGTTTTCCGATGGCACTTGCCATTCAGGACGTGTTGCTTCTGAATCCACGACAGTGCCGAGCGGGGGGTTCTGGACGGTGCGGCTCATCTCTGTGAAGAATCGTGGCATGCACTTCTTCCTGATCACAATCACGGACACTCTGGAGCTTAGAATCAGAGAAGTAAAAAGTAAAAAGAAGAAAATGGGAACCATCCACGCAGCTTTCTAATTTTCTTTTTTTTTTTTAATTTAAGAAATGAAATAAGCCAGGTGTGGTGGCTCACACCTGTAATCCCAGCACTCTGGGAGGCCAAGCAGGTGGACTGCTTGAGCTCACAAGTTTGTGACCAGCCTGAGCAAGAGTAAGACCCTGTCTACTGAAAATAGAAAATCTAGCCAGGAGCTGTGGAAGGAACGTGTAGTCCCAGCTACTCAGGAGGCTAAGGCAAGAGGTACTTAAGAGGTAATCTCAAAACCCAAGATTTTGAGGTTGCTGTGAGCTATGACACCACAGCACTCTACCCAGGGTGACAGAGTGAGACTCTGTCTCAAAAATAAAAAATAAAGTAAGAATTCATTAAAAAACACTGCAAAACAAAAAAAATTAAAATCATCCAATACATTCCCTCCTTTTCTAGAGATACAAAGAATTTTTCAAGTTGGAGACTGCCCTTATTTGTTACAAAAGTGTGGCATACCAAGTCATCTGCCTAGTTTATATCATCTGAAGGGGGTGGGAAGGAATGGTTAACAGGACAGTAAGTTTCAATTAGCAATTCTGCAGATTTTCCAGAACTATCCCTGGAGACCAGCCCTATTGTTCTCATTAGTGATAGTCACCCTATTTTCTTTTTCTTTTTTTTTTTTTTTTGAGATGGAGCCTCAAGCTATCCCCCTGGGTAGAGTGCCATGGCATCACGCTCACAGCAACCTCCAACTCCTGGGCTCAAGCGAGTCTCCTGCCTCAGCCTCCCAAGTAGCTGGGACCACAGGTGCCCGCCACAACGCCTGGCCATTTTTTCGTTGCAGCCATCATTGTTGTTTGGTGGGCCCGGGCTGGGGATTTGAACCCGCCACCTTAGGTGTATGTGGCTGGCGCCTTAGCCGCTTGAGCCCCAGCCGCCGAGCCAGTCACCCTATTTTCACCTTCACTCTGAGTAGCAAAGGGAGAAGGACAAGTTCCTCTTACTCCTCAAATCATCCTTTCTGAATCATGAAAACTCACCCCTGTGTGGACAGACAGATGGAGCAAATGCCCCCTCTGGCCAAAAGCTGAATGGCTTAAAGTATTTGGTAAAGTCAAGGCTGAATCCAAATATTCACCATCATAGAAGGTATCTCCAGGATGTAAGGATTACTCTAAAGTTTCATTTTCAGCATTATTCTTTTTTTAATTTTATGTCTGTTTTCAGTATTGAAACTTTCAAGAGTTGATGTTATAGCACAAGAAAAGTAATTTCTCAGCACCGTACTCCTGCATTCCTCACTAGCATACTTGGGGTTCTTAATACACACATTCACCTGCCGTCAAGTGCCGAGCAAGGTATTTGGGCTGTAACAGGTGGGTGAACCACAGGTGATACTGCCATAAAGCTGTTAGGCTTTCCCTCTTCACAGTAAATGACTAAGGTCAAGACTCCGCTCCTTTGTGACTGTGGCACCACACTCTGCATGACGATGGTGTGACCCCGTAGATGGAGCCCTCTGCACAGCTGAGGAGAGGATGCTTTCCAAATGTTTTTAGGAGCCAAGTTAGGAATATTGGCCTCCCCTATTTACCATTTTTAATATTTTTTTGCACTTGCCACTTCACATAATCACTGAGGAAAATTTTGTAAGGATCCACTGAAATTTTAAAATGTAACAGAGCAAGGCACTCAGTGTTTAAGACGGTGTGACTGCCCTGTGCAGCTCAGACCCCTTTCGGTACCTTCCATCAACCTTAAGTACACATCTGTGCCTGCAACTCAGAGGATTTGGTTCTGTGGGCTCCAGATTTGAAACCATAGCTTGCTTCTTCCATGGCATATTAATATGTAGGAAGCATCCTCACCTGCCAGCAGCCCAGCAGGCTTCCTGCTGCATCTCAGTGTCAGCTGCTCTGAAGCACACCTTCCTTTCTCTCGGTGCCCCAGAACCAGGGCTCCCAGAGCGTACACCACCCACGCTATTTATGTCAGACCATCCCAACTGGCCTCCAATTTAGGGGAAAGTCATACAGCTCTACTGGCATGATGCAGACACAGAGCAAAACTTCATCATATAATAATAAAAGTTATGCTCACATGCCTGTGTGTAATTGTTACAGCTGAATGTGCTGCCACACCCATCAGGAGGGTGGAGGAAAGAACAGTAACTAAATACCTGGTATTGGATCTGGCTTCTCTCACACTGCTCAGCAACTGCGGGACTTCATACTCAAGAAGTGCTTTCAGCTGGCCATCCCCTACACCATCACGATACACAATGATCCGTGCAGGCAAATCCTGATTGTACTTGTACCATTTGTTGAGAGCTCCTGTAGAATTTGGTGTGAGAAAAGAATGGCTTACCCAATGCCAACAAAAAATGGCATTCCCATATATTGCAATGTTTAAGTAGTTTTGGCATTTACAGCCATTGTAAAATGAAATAATGCTTAATTGCAGTTGTATTTGCAAAAATATAAAAATGGATAACTTTAGGGAGAATTCCTTTGTTTCTGTTATTTGAGGAACCATATTGGTTTCTTGGGAATAATATATTTTTAAACTTAGCATATCGCTTTCATAAAATTTTAATATTTAAGCAATAAATTAAAATTGAATTCATGCAATAGACATACAAATGCCTAAAACCAAATTAATACTAATTAGCGTCTTCAAGTCTTTAAATTCTCTCTATAGTTATAAACTAGATAATTTTATGTCACTTTCTTCCTTAACGAGAATAAATATGAAAATGAAGTAATGGCTTGGCCATTCCTCTGAAAATATCTCTTCACACAGACTTGCCCAACTTACTCCTGTTCTGAGAATATGAACTCTGAAAACATTTCCACCCACTCTAACTAGAAATCCCCTAAAGAGCAGAGAGATAAGACGGTAACTTTTACCTGGCAGGAACTTTTAATAATAACTGCTAAAAAAAGTTTACCAGGTTTTGAGGTGAGGGGAAACAGTAGATGGAATAATTCTTCCCATGTCTATGATGCAGTTACGTATTTTAGAAGAGGTTTACTGTCCAGGAAATGCGTTTTAAGTTGATAGAAATAATCATATATATAAATTATCAACATGTATCACCAAACTCACTTCTTCAGGAAAAACAAATTATTTACAACCCCCCAAAGTTTAAAGACGGGAAATGCAAATCAGAAGAGGGAGGTATTTCCACAAGGAACAGTTAAGGAGCAGGAGAGCCAGACCTGGGCCAGTGCTGGTGAGAAGCAGAAACCCTAAGTCTGTCTTTCCCTCACCTTGCACTGCAAAGAGGACGCCTTCCCTAATCTGCTTTCTTCCTTATCTTCTCCTTCTACGCCGCCTTACCTGTTAGCACCCCTGCCCCAATCCCAAAGGCGTCTCTCCTATGTCTACATTTAACACTGCTCTGTCATAACCCTCGTTTCTCCAGGGTAGGTTTCATTTGACCTTCACACTGCCAGGAACATCAGCAGCCACAAATTTCCCTTCCTCCTGGTTTTATGTTTATCACAAAGAGACGATGTAAGGGCCACAGTCTGTGAGCCTGAGTCAGCATGCAGCTCTGGAGAGCCTCTGCTGGTGACAGCTGACACAGACAGGCTTGGAGAGCGTCCTTCCACCTATCTGATCTGCCAAAAGCATGCAGACTTAGGGTCTGAAGCAACAGTCCTTGGAGCCACCTCCCATTGCTATATTTTTAGTACCAGTCATGAAAACTTTTAAGCAATCTGCCATATCCGTCATTGTTCTCTGAAGGATGCAGCGGGAAAACCACCTAAAGTAAGCAAAGGACAAAAGTAAGGTTCAACTTCAAAATTTCTACTGTAAACATTTAATTAATAAATTAAGAATATAATTCAATGCTCCTAAATTTTGTATACATTATGTGATCACAATCTATTATTTTATTTATTTGAGACAGAGTCCCTCTCTGTCGCCCTCAGTAGAGTGACTAGCGTTACAGCTCACAGCAAACTCAAACTGTTGGATTCAAGCAATCCTCTTGCCTCAGCCTCCCCAGTAATTAGAACTACAGGCACACCACAACACCTGCCTGGTTTTAGAGACGGGGTCTCACTCTCAACTGAGGCAGGGGTCAAACACCTGAGCTCAGGTAATCCACCTATCTCAGCCTCCCAGAATGCTAGGATTACAGGCGTGAGCCATTGTGTCTGGTGGTGACCACGATTTATTGAAAAGAGAAACTAAAGCACAGTGTTAGTGTCAGAAATATCTGGGTTCAAATCCTGGCCAGTATACTTACCAGCTATGTAACTTTGCTATGGAAACCTAAGTCTCAGTTTCCTCTTCTGTACCAAGGAGATTTATAAGACAGTAAGGCAGTTACTACCTTATAAGGATGTGGTAAAAATTAAGTTAGGAATAGATGTAAAATACTCAGCATAGTACTTGACATATAGTAAAAATTAGAAGCCAGTATATTATTTTTATAAAGAAATGTATTATGGCTGGGTGCGGTGGCTCACACCTATAATCCTAGCACTCTAGGAGGCCAAGGCAAGGTGGTCTGCTTGAGCTCACAAGTTCAAGACCAGCCTGAGCAAAAAGTGAGACCCCGTCTCTACTAAAAATAGAAAAACTGAGGCAAGAGGATCGCTTGAGCCCAAGAGTTGGAAGTTGCTGTGAGTGTTGTGATGCCATGACACTCTACTCAGGGTAACAGTTTGAGACTCTATCTGAAAAAAAAAAAAAAAGAAAGAAAAAAGAAAAGAAAAGAAATATATTAGTTTAGAAGCTCTTCTAATTTCAAAATATTTAAAGATTTTTCAAGCATAAACTTTCTATAGGTGAGCCTTTTAAATTTAAAATTGTAACATAATTAAAACATATCTAGATTTCGGAAGAAAGTTATCTTGCTAAAGCCATTATGTAATTAAAAGCACCTGGAAAATGAAGATCATAACTTAAAGGTAAGTATGTGCAAACATTATTATAGTTCTCTAAACACATGCAACAATAGTGAGGTGCATGCCTTACTCAGCTACTTGGGAGGCTGCAGCAAGAGGGTTGCTTGAATCCAGGAGTTTGGGGCTGTTGAGTGCTATGATTCGTACCTGTGACTAACCATTGCACTCTAGCTTGGAGAACATAAGTAAGGCCATATCTCCAAAAGAGTAAAAAAAAAAAAAAAAAATAGTAACATTAATTAGGAATGCTCTAACTAACTGGAAGTCCTGAGAGATGTCACTAAGATGGCAGAATAACAGGATGAGACTTCTGCGAGAGTCCAGGAGTCCAATGGAGAAGTAGTTCTAGCACACCACTGGTGTAAAATATTCAAGAATAAATGGATTAAAGAGGGTCATGCAAAAAAATTACTTGTGTCGCCCCTCCAGGGTGGCATAACTTAGTGCTCAGAGAGACCCCACCCAGGCCTAAGGTTTTTCTAACATGGTGAAAGTGAGAATATAGTGAGCACCCAGAAGACCAGGGATACAGGATGCTGCCCAAGATGCCCACTTCTTTTTTGTCTTGTTCACAACACCAAAGTAATCAGCAGAGCTGAGAAGGGAGCGGGAGAGTCTGGGAGCAAGAAAGAGAGACTGGAACCTTACCAACTGCTCATGAATGCCATCAAGAAGCTCATCCATAACTCATTTAGGAAAAAGAAAAAAAAAAAAGAAGCAGCAGCAGCTTACCCATAGCTGGCTTAGAATGCCTTACTTATAGATCTGTTCAATTAATCCCAAATATCCTACACATCTCACCACCAACCCTGCCCATGCTGGCTGCCCAAACATGTCCCTGCAGACAGGAATTACAAGCATTTCACACAGACAGCTATGTCAATTCTGCAAGATTAGCAGAAGGCACACAAACAAACATTTCAGAGAAGGACTCTAAAGGAAAAAAATGAGAGCCTCTTGGTAGATGGCCTGGCTGTGTGGAATTGAAAGAATATAAGCAATTTTAAGAATTACCCTAAAGAGAGAAATATAGAGTAGACACAGACATAGAAAAAGTGTGAGAGAACCTTAGAATACCTGTCTGGGCTGACTGGTGAAGGCACTTCTCTCCCATAGCTAGCCAGTAGAGAGAAGGCAACATTTTTCAAATGGAAAGATACTAATGCAAGACTTCAAAAAACATGACAAACATTAGAACATATGACACTACCAAAGGAATACAATAATATTCCAATAAACAACCCCAAATAAATGTAGATATATGAACTTCCTGACAAAAAATTTTAAAAAATGTAGAATCTCTGTAAGTTGACCACCTGAGGGACTGTAACAAACTGGTTAACATATAGAGATATTCAACATAAGGAACAGGGTCTACTATATTTATTTGTACATGTCTACTCTACGAAAATTAGGTCAATTTAAGGAGATGATCAATGTAGGCAGCTGGTCAACCAAGGAGGATCTACTGTATTTGTTTTAAGCAAGTTCACAAACTATAAGAGAATACAAATAGAACACTCAATGATGTCAGAAAAATACATAAACAAAACAAGAACTTCAATAAAGAGGCAGAAATCATTAAAAGGAATCAAACAGAAATTCTGGAGCTCAAAAATAAAATATATTAGATAAATGCAATAGAGAGCATCAATGTCAGACTTGAGCAAACAAAAGAAACTGTGAACTTGAAGATAGGCTCATTTGAAAATATCCACTTAGAGAAGAAATAAGTCAAAAGAAATTAAAAGAAATCCTGGAATTTACAGGACACCATCAAGACAGCTAACATTCCCATTATGTGAGTTTCAAAAGGAGAAAGGGGCACAAGGGTTATATAAATAAATGATGGCTTAAAACTTCCTAAAATCTGGACAGACATCTAGGTACATGAAGCTCAGAACTTCCCAAACAGGTCTAACCCAAGAAGAACCCACTAAGACACATTATAATTGAACCATCAAAAATCAAAGAATATTAAAAGTGGCAAGAGGGTCTTATCACATACAAGGGAACCTCCACAGGCTCTAAGCAGATTTCTCACCAAAAACTTTACAGGTCAATGTTTTTTCAAATGTGCTAAAAGAAAAAAAAAAACAAAACTGTCAACCAAGAATACTTTGCTTGGCAATGGTGTCCTTTACAAATGAAAAAAAGGTAAAGACTTTTCCTGACAAATAGAAGTTGAGGAAGTTCATCACTGCTAGGCCTGCCTTAAACATATGAAAGTGTAAAACTCACTAGTAAAGGTAAGTATATAGTTAAATTCAGAATACTTTAATATGATAATGGTGGTGTCTAAATTATTTATAACTCTACCATAAGGTTAAAAGACAAAATAATTTACAGTTAGTATAGCTACAACAATTTGTTAATGGGAATACAATATTAACAATATGTAACTTGTGACAAGAAAACCATAAAATGTGGGGGAGGAAGTACAAGTAAAATTTTTATTTGTGATGGAAGTTATCAGCTTAAAACAGACTATTACAAGTTATTTCATGCAAGCCTCATGGTAATGATAAAGCAAAATCTAATAGTAGATACCAAAAAGATAAAGACAAAGGAATTAAGCACACCATTAAAGAAAGCATCAAATCATAAAGGAATGGCTTGTTACTCATAGCTCAGTGGTTAATGTGCCGGCCACATACACTGAGGCACGCAGGTTTGAACCTGGCCTGGGCCTGCTAAACAACAATGACAACTGCAACAGAAAATAGCCAGGCATTGTGGGGGGCACCTGTAGTTTCAGCTACTTGGGAAGCTAAGGCAAAAGACTTGCTTAAGCCCAAGAGTTAGAGGTTGCTGTGAGCTATGAAAGCCATGAGGGCCACACAGTGAGACTCTGTCTGAAAAAAAAAATCATAAAGGAAAATAGCAAGAAAAAAAAAATAGAGAAAGGATCTACAAACGAGCCAGAAAATAATGAACAAAATGGCATTAGTAAGTTCTTGCCTGTCAATAATTATTTTAGATATAAATGAACTAAATTATCCAATCAGAGGACACAGAGTGTCTAAATGGATAAAAACCAAGACCAACTACATGCAGCTTACAAGAGACTCACTTCAAATTTAAAGACACAGATGAACAAGGGCAGAGGCCAGATGGCGGACTGCAGCCAGCTTTCTACAGAGTTTCCTGTACAGAAGGAGACTTAAAGGACAAAAATTTAGCAAGGGAGCTGATGGTTTGGAGCTGAGCCAAGAGAGAAGATTGAAGAGCGCACTTCAACCTTGCTGAGGCGAGCTGCAACCCCAAAAATACAATCAAAAGGTACAAAATCCACCACCAAATAGACGGGAGTCCCCTCCCCCAAAAGGAGGGCTCGCAGTTTACTCCATACAAACAAGCGAACAGAGTTCAAACATCCTCCCACTCTATGCCACGGGAGAGACCCCCTAAAAACTGGACCTCCTACCCCTGCTGTCATGCCACGGCACCCTCCTGCCAGGCATAAAACTGTATATATTACCTACCTACAAATCTGAGCTCCCAGGATTCCCCCCACTCTCACCCTGAGGTCTGGAGGTTTGTCACCCATGGAGTCCAGATTCTTGGGCAATTCCTTGAGAGGAGTGGAGGGGGAAAGGGCTGGTGCTGCTCTGTGCTGACTCTGTGGCACTGGAGCAAGAAGAATCTTGGCTTGGAGGAAGCCATACAGGAGCTGCGGGAAATGCTCACATCCCTGAGGCCATTCCAGATAGGCACGCCCTATCTCTCTGGGCAACCAAAGGTTCCAGACAGCAGCCACTAGCTCAATGGACTTAGGAAGTTCTGTGAGTAAAGAGACCATAATAGAACCTAGCCCTCAGGGGAATATAGCTGAGACAAAGGCAGT